CGGATCCACACAGGCGCACTCCTTCCCTGGCCCTGAAGGGGGAGCGAGCAGGAGGGAGGAGGGAGGCACGCGTGCCGACAAAGGGAAGACGCGGGCGCAGGCGCAGGCATGGCGAAGGAGGCGGGAGGAGCTCCACGAGGAAGCTGCAGAGACGGTCTGTCAGGCCTCCCGCCGTCCCCGCCGACCGACCTTCGGGGAAGTGGCGCGAAGGACGGGTAACTCGTCGCACCGCAGGGCAGGCCGCGACCAGCCGGCCCCGAGCCCGCAAACCTCCCACTCCTTCGGCCTCTGCGCTCTTTTCCTCTCGCTCTCCTTCTTCTCCTTGTTCTCCCTCTTCTTCTTGGCGCGTGCGGCGGTCCAGGACCCTACCGACCGAGGCTGCCACGCCAACAACGGCATGCCGAAGTCCACCCATACAGGGTTGACTCTCCCGCCCTCTCTACCCCCGTGGCCAGGACGCGCCAGACGGGCAACCGCGTGCTGGCAGGAGTGGCACGCTGCCAGCTCCTCCACGCCTCTTCTCCCCTCATCTTCATCCTGGCCCTTGCTCCTGCTCGCCATTGCTTGGACGCTCGTTCCCACTGCATGGTTCGGGTTGCCCAAATTGCTCCTCGATGACCCTCGCCGAAAAAAAAACGCACACGTCCGAGCGATGCCAAGCCTGGTGCCGCTCCTTGTCCATCCTCCCTTTTCCTCCCTCCCCCGACCCCTCGGGGTCCTCGCAAGCCCAGGCTGGTGCGGCATGGCCGCAGCAAGCCACGCCTGCGACCGGCGACGGCGCGGGCCAGGTCGGGCCCCTGCGGAGGCGGCTCGCAGGACCGGGGATCCCACGGCCCACCCCGCAGACCCTGGAGGCATGTGGGGCCCCCTGCGCCAATTGCAGCGGCGGGGGAAGGGAAAAGGGTGCAGACGTCTTGCTGTTCACCATGAATGTGCCGCACACCCATCTCGTCACCCCAGTTGGTGTCAGAGCCCTTCTGCTGCTCACAATCGCGCAGCCCAAGGTCATGCGGATGACACACGGCGTACTGATCCAACGAGTGACCCACCGCGCACAGCGCACGCCTCGTCGCACCCGTGGATGCCAAGAACCTGTAAGCTCTCTCCTTCGTGCTGCTCAACTGCATGCAGCAAACACCGTCGTGGAAGACCGCAACCCTCCTGCTTCGCAACGTCGTGCGGGATGCTCTTGCAGAGCTGCCTAGAGACCCGGTGGCCCTCGTGGATGTCAGGGTTCGGCTGCTGCTCCAGATGGTCAGCTCAACGTCGAGCTGCCAGTAATTAGCCCGCGTGCTGCTCGGGCGGTGAAGCGACGCACTTGTCCTGCTCGTGGAGGTCAAGACCATGCTTCGCGTGAGAGGTTGGTGCGCATGGCGAGGCGGCCCTGGAGGCGCAGCCGTGCCGGTGTACGTATGGCCGAACATGGGGTTGCGTTCATGGTCGCTGCCAGGACCGCCGTGCCCTCTTCACTTTGCGGGTAAGTAGCTCCTTCGCGGGCTCGCCGTGCGAGCTCTGCTTCTGCAAGCCGGTGGCCGACAGCATCTCCCAAGTGTGCGCGGACGCGCCGCCTCGCTGCCTCTGTGCGGCCCTGCCGAAGGCGTGCGGGCACCTGGCATATCGCCCGAGGACCCACTCCGAGCGGACCGTGACACCTTGCTCTCCGAGTTCGCCGCGGCAGCCCGGCGGGGTCGGTTCACTCCAGCCGGGCGGCGAGAGGGTGGCCGCTGCGCGGAGCCTGAGCCTCTGGGGGGAGAGCCGGCGCGGGAAGCCTTTCTCTCGAGAAGTCGTGGAGTCCCGGCTGCACGCAGGGTTGACCATGAGCCAAAGAGAGACTGTTGGTGCGCAGATTGCCGATCGTTGCGCGCCCTGCGACCATGGCGACATGCGTGCTCCAGTTTGCCGCCCCCCCCCCCTCCGCGGCCCGCCCCCCCGCGCCCCCCAAAGCCTTCGGGGACGCACTGACCCGGGTCAATGCAAACCCAGGCCAACTGGGGTTTGCAGAATTCTGCAAGATCCTGCAGGATCCTGCAGGGTCCTGCACCCTGACCCGGTTCAATGCAGCCCTGGCTCTGCAGGATCCTGCAAGATCTGGCGCTCTGGCCGACCCCCGTTTGCATTGACCCCCGTCTCAAAACTCCCGAAGCCGAAGCCTTGCGTCAGAAGTCATGCTGGCGAAGGGCGGCTCTTACGTGAAGCCTGCGCAGGCGTTCCCACGCCGAGGCGGCGGCTGGTCGACTGCCGCGCGCTGCCTCCAGGCGCGCCGCCCGCGCGGCGTCGAACACTCCGGAGGGCCGCCGCCCAGCACGCCTGTCGCCTGGCCAGGGCGGCCAGCGCGCGGATCGCCACCGCCACGGGCAGCCGGAGGAGAGGAGGGTCCGCACGCTTGCCGTCTGCTCGACGCGCTGCACGAGGCCCCGCCGTGCGCGCTCCGTCGTCGATGGGGGCGCCGACGTACTCGGGTGTGGACGTGCTGCTCGTCCTCGTGCGGGGGCCTGATCTGGCAACCATCCGCGGGCCACTCCGTCTGGCACCGCGCGCAGCGGGCTTCTGCGCGAAGGCTCGCAGCCGCCTTCTCCTCCCCCGCCCCGCCCGTCGCCCTCCTTTTCCTGCTCCAGCCCTCCTCTGCATCTCCGCATGACCCTCGTCCTCCTCCTCCTCCTTCTCCTCCTGGCCCTCCTCTTCCTCCTCCTTCTCCTCCTCGTTTTCCCTTCTCCTTCTCCTGCTCCTCCTTCTCCTCGCTGTCCTCCTGTGATCGGTCGGCACCGCTCCTGCCCGCCTGCGCCTCCACCTCCTCCTGCTCCCGAACTGGCCCTTTTCTGGCCCTGCGTCTCCACCCCTCGTCTCTCCGTTTTCGGAGAGCCGCATACGTACGGTCAGGAACTTCTGCTTGGCGTGCTGTGGAGTCGGCCGCGGCGAAAACGCTGTGCACTGCGAGCGGATAGCGTGTCGCTCCGCTCCGCGGGGCGGAAAAGCCCAGACCGGCTCGGGGAGTTGACGCTGAAGGGCCAGGCCGTAGACAGCGTGTCGCGCCGAAGCGCGGTGGGACAAAATCAGCAGAGCGACAAGCTACGCCAAAATTCCAACCGAGGCAATCGAATCGCACAGCTCCGTGTGCAAGCTCACAAGCAAATCGTGAAGCGATAAGGCCAGGGAGACATGTCGAGACGTGCCGCGCGCCCCCCTCCTCCTCCCCCATTCTCCTCCTCCTCCTCCTCCTCCTCCCCCTCCTCCTCCTCCTCCTCCTCCTCCTCCTCCTCCTCCTCCTCCTCCCCTCCTCTCCTCCTCCTCCTCCTCCTCCTCCTCCTCCTCCTCCTCCTCCTCCTCCTCCTCCTCCCCCTCCTCCTCCTCCTCCTCCTCCTCCTCCTCCTCCTCCTCCTCCTCCTCCTCCTCCTCCTCCTCCTCCTCCTCCTCCTCCTCCTCCTCCTCCTCCTCCTCCTCCTCCTCCTCCTCCTCCTCCTCCTCCTCCCCTCCTCCTCCTCCCCCTCCTCCTCCTCCTCCTCCTCCCCTCCTCCTCCTCCTCCTCCTCCTCTCCTCCTCCTCCTCCTCCTCCTCCTCCTCCTCCTCCTCCTCCTCCTCCTCCTCCTCCTCCTCCTCCTCCTCCTCCTCCTCCTCCCCCTGAACCCTCCTCCTGCTCCGCGTCCTCCTCAGCCGCTCCTCCTCAGAGGCTCTTCTTCATTCTGGGGCCCTCTTGGGCTGTCCTGTAGGGTCGGCGGAGATTATTCTGAGTTTCTTGTGGCCGTGCCCGCAGACTGGGCGCTCTCGTTGGACACGAGTCTCGGCGCAGTGGCGCCCGAGCCCCAGATGTATCGAGATCCGAACTGGAGCAGGGATCGGACAGATGCCCCCCTCCATGGAGTCCCATTGGATCCTCCCTCTTCTTCTTTTGTCTCTCTCATTCCTGAGGGGCACCGAAGGGGGGGAACTGGTTCACGGGGTGAGACATGGACCTGGAATACGGGATACGTCGCCGATAGATCGGCGATAGGCCCTCCATAGCAAATCCACACCTTCCTTGGCAGGGTGTGTTATCGGGCCACTGTCGGCGATCAATGGGCGATTGGGGGTTGATGCATCCGCCACTGAGCCTACCCCCCCTAACGTTGCCCCCTCCCCCCCTCTCGCTTCTTCACCCGGCGCCCCTCATCCCTCCTGGACGTGGGCCCTTTCCCCGGCGCAGCCCGCGGAGTCACGGTGCGCTCATCTGCTTCCAGGGGCGGCCAGGGTCTCCTGGCGCCGCCGGGTCCTCGGCCAGGGCTCTGGTCTGGCTGCAGGGTGAAAGCTCGCCGACAGTAGAGCGAGGAAGAGGAGGAGAAGGAGGTATGTGCAAGATCAGGAGATGAGCGCAGAACGTAGGGGAGGTGCAGGAGGACGAGGGGTGGCGGACAAGGAAAAGAAAAAGTAGGAAGGGAAGGTGAGGGAGAGGGAGGAAGCAAGAACGAGCACGAGGAGGGGAAGGCGGGTGCAACAGGAGATGGATGGGAAGGGGGTATAAGGGGGACGAGGAAAGTGATACGAATAAAGCGGACGAGATGGATGGGGCAGGGAGGACAAGGGACTAGGAGGAGGATGGGGGCTGGGGGCGGCGGGCGGGTGACGATGAGCAGAATGGAGAGGATGGAAGAGGTGGACTATGGTAACTGGACATGCTCCTTTCTGCCTCTCTGTATCTCTCTTCGGTTTCCTCCGCCGTGTTCGACACCTGTGGGTGCCATTTTAGCCTGTTGTCTGGCCCTCTTGGGGCCTTCCGGGGATCTGCATAGCTCTACGCCGCGTCTTCTTGGAGCCTCTGGGGCCGATCTGGACCCCCCCGAAAGAAAACTCCGGGCTCCAACAAAACGTGCGGCGGCGGCGTCTGCCCACTCACGGGCGCTCAATGAAGCGATGCTGCCGAAGCACGTCGTGGATACACAGGCCCGCGCCTGAGCAGGCCCTTAATTACGCAGAGCGACGCATGAGCCGGCAGGCCGAGGAGGGAGGAAGGGGGGGGAAGAGGGAGGGAG